TGATTCTACCGTCCCTGAACGTTTCAACTTAGTGAGAGAGACAAGATTGTGCTTTTCTTGCCTGAATAAAGGTCACGTGACGAGAGACTGTAGATCGAAGAAAAAATGCGAGAAAAATGGATGCACAAGACTTCATCATCAACTGTTACACGAAGAGCCTGAAACAATGAGCGGTATATCATCAGTGCTGGACAAGGGAAGCATTCTACCAGTTGTTAGAGTTTGTTTCAGAGCATCAAATGGTCGAACACGCAAATGTCCTCATCGACAGCGGCGCAGGTACAACAGTAATTCGAAAGGATTTTGCCCGATCACTTGGTCTGCAAGGCAAACGAGAAAAATTGATCTAGCCGTTGTTGGAGGAGAAAGAGTTGAACAACCCCAAAGCAGAAGAGTGACCTTCTCAATCTCATCATTCAACGGAGCCGAAGAGCACAGAATAGAAGCCCACGAGATCGAGAAAACCGTTTTTAAGTGTCCCACGTTTGGATCGTCCGTGGTTGAAATCATTTTGCACACCTTCGAGACATCGACTTCTCGCATAAAGCTGGTCCAATCGATCTTGTCTTAGGCGTCCAGTTCAGTCATTTGCGCGCAGAAGATGAAGTACGTCAAGGCCGTCAATTTGAGCCTAAGCTAGGATGGTTTGTCATCAGTTCTGATAGTTCACAGAAAACGTCCAAAGGATGTTCAATAAGTTTTGTCCAACCCGTCAACCTAGAGAAATTCTACGAGTTTGAAACCCTCGGAATCCAAGCCCCCCAATGTCATTGTCCACAGATAGCTATGTCACCTGACGACAGATGAGCCATCGAGTTGATGGAGAACTCCGGAAAAGCAGCAAGGAGGGAGATATGTCATTGGACTTCCTTGGAAGAAAGATAAAAAATCTTTTGCCTAACAATTATTCACTAGCTGAGAAAAGATTGTTTTTGCTAAAAAGAAGCCTGAAATGGAAGATGTTAAGGCCAGCCCGTACAACCAAGTCGTGAATGAGTACGAGAGAAACGGTTGGTCGCGTCAGTTGTCACAAGAAGAAGTAGAAGCCAAAGATAAACCAAAATATTACCTGCCTCATCACGGAGTTTATCGACCCGAGAAGAAAAGTACGCCCTTGAGAGTAGTATTCGACCCTGCCTGCCAATATCAAGGAGTATCATTGAATTCGTTTCTCTACAAAGGTCCTTGTCTTATTGGAAATCTACTTGGAGTGTTATTGCGCTTTAGAGAAGATCTTGTTGGCCTTGTTGGCGATATATGGAAGATGTATTTGCAGATTTGTCTGCCTGAAGAAGACACGCTTGTCCACCGATACTTATGGAGAGATTTAGATGAAAGTCGAGACCCAACAGTTTACGCACTCCAAAGAGTCACATTCGGAGATAAACCATCGCCGGACATGGCAAGTTACGTTATGATCAAGATCGCGAATGAAAATGAGTCCCAATGTCCTCAACCTGCCGTGATTCTCAAACGTGATCGGTACATGGATGATCTTAATCATTCAACAAGCACGCAGGAAGAAGCAGAAAAGTCCAAAGGCGAAGTCGACGACGTGTTAGCTACGGGGAGTTTTAATATAAAGGAATGGTTTGTTTCGTCGTCTGTTCAAGAAATGCAAGCTGAGAACGTTTCTAGTCCTGAAGAAGAAAATCCTGATTTCAAAGGTAACGTGATAGGTGTAAATAGTGAATGTACAACGACAAAGAATGTCAACCTAGACGGTGAAGAAGGAATTAATCAAAACCTTAGGAGTCAATTGTTCGGTCCCTTTAATCTTAAAGTTTCGCAAAATAAGAGTGTCAAAGCCTGGGGTGCTATATTTACCTGTGCGACAGTTCGAGCCATTCACCTAGAAATCGTAGAGAGTACGTCAGCTGAAGCCTTTCTTCATGCACTGCGACGTTTTGCTTCACATCATGGCTGGCCTAGCACGATAATCTCTGATAACAGGACGTCATTTGTTGGTGCTGAGAGATTGTTGAGAGAATTGGTTGTAAAGGAGAGAAAGAAACTTAAAGATTTCGCAACACTCTACCAAGTGGGGGGTAAATATTTTCACGAAACGTTTGTTCGCCACCGCAGAAACCTAAAATATATTGTATTTATTATATTTTTATGAATTATGATAAAACTACCCAAATATTTATTGCAATAAATACAATATATTTTAGGCTTCTGCGGTGGCGAACAAACGTTTCGTGAAAATATTTAACCCCCCCCCCCGTCATGTGTCCACGAGAAGTTTTCGCGAAGATTGCGCGTGACTTTCAAATGCTTTGTATTTTATTTTGAACCTAAATAATCACCGGGAGGGTTTTCCCATCAAAACCCAACAAATCTTTTTATTTTTTCGATTGGGACTATTCTACAACGAATTACTCTTGGATACTGTAGTCTAAACACATAGGAAGACGAAGAAGTGGCATTTATCGGGCTGCAGAGAAGCGGCGAGCCATTAAAATGGCGGCAATTTGACGAAATATCGAAGGACACAATATCGAAGATAAAATATACTGCACTGTTTCAAAACTTCATTAAACTTCGTCGAAATCGTCTTTAGCCATCTATTATTATGTAAAAGTACAACAACTGGATGATATCAGCGAGACTCGGCGATAAAAAGCAAACAAGACGGCAAAGTATGGCTGAAATGGTGTTTTCGTGGGGGGTGAGTGAATTAAAATGTATTATATTTAAAGAAAACAATGACAATCCTTATGAAAACTACAATAATTATATTAAATGAAGCATAGTTTTTCATCCCATGATAATTTTCTTAAGGAAATAAGAACATTAAATTTCTGCCAGGCATATTAGTATGGTAAATAGAACAATAAGAACATCAGGTAAATAGAACATTAAATTTCTGCCAGGCATAAAATTGATGAAGTGAGTTGTTTTGTCACAGAAAAGAGTCCTGACCTTGCCTGTATAACGGAAACATGGCTAAATGACCGTATCTCAGATTCCTGCCTCGATATTCCAGGTTACAATTTTGTTCATAAAAACCGCAGTGTGGGCTCCCACGGAGGGGTTGGGGTGTACATCAGGAACACGATATTTTATAAGCCTCTGAATCATCTCCACCATATAGATTACGAAGTTCTGTGGGTCTATGTTCGTCCAAGTAGACTTCCCCGCAGGTTTTCCTGCTTGATACTTGGTGTCGTTTACCATCCACCTAATGCTAATGATGATGAAATGCTCCAATTTCTCTCCACATCACTGATTACTATTGAAAGCACCTATCCTGGCTGTGGGTTTATTCTTACAGGCGACTTTAATCGGTTAAAATGCAATCGGATATTAACACAGTTCAGTTGCAAACAGATTGTTAACGTTTCCACAAGGGCCAACCAGACTTTGGATCTAATAATAACCAACTTACATTCGTTTTATGATAAGAACTCTGTCGAAAAATTTCCGCCATTTGGTCTTTCAGATCATAATGTTGTGATTGTCAATCCTTGTAAAAGAGAACCCAAGTCATGCAGTAGAAGAATTATCTCTAGTAGAGAATTACGATCTAGTAAAAGGCATGAGCTTGGAAGATACCTTACATCTATCGATTGGTCCTCTCTGAATCATTTTGACACATGCGAAATGAAACTCCAGTATTTCGAAGAGTT